AGGTCCTCTGCTCTTGTGATGAGTAGATATTTTTATATATTTACAAGTTTTATTCAAATACAATGCTATTTTATAGATGAGACTTCAGCATTCATGAATTTGGGTATCTAACAGACACCTTGGGAAAAAAATCCCCCATCGAAACACAGTGGCAGTTTTACATGCATATTACACAACACAAAGTATTAAACATCTACATTAGGCAAAACTACTTCCATCTCTTTTTGTATTCCTATAAGATATATTTATTTTAATTTTTAAACTCTTTTTACATCCTGATCGAAGTTCCTGCCCCTTCTTCTAGTCCATCCCAACTCCCTTCTCCCCACCCCTCTCCTCCTTTTCTCTTCAGAAAAGGGCAAGCCTCTCATGGTATATCAAGTTGCAGAAAGACTGGGCACCCCTCTACTATTAAGGCTGGACAAGACAACCCAGTAGGAGGAAAGGGTCCCAAAAGCAGGCAACAGAGTCAGAGACAGGCCCTGCTCCCACTGTTAGGAGTCCCACAAGAAAATCAAATTATTGTAACACATAGGCACAGGGCCCAGGTCAGTCATGAAGGCTTCCTAGTTGTCTCTTCAGTCTCTGTGAGCTCTGATGAGCCCAATTTAGTTGATTCTGTGGATTTTTGTGTGGTGTTCTTGACAACTCTGGCTCCTACAATCCTTCCTCCCCATCTTATATAGGATTCCCTAATGTTTGACTGTGGTTCTCTGATTTTGCTCCCATCAGTTGCTGGATGAGGCCTCTCTGATGACAATTGGGCTAGGCACGGATCTATGAGTATAGTGGAATCATTTTATTGATTTATTTTTATTGGTTTTGGCCGGTTGTGTTTGATTCTATCCTAGGACTCGGGGCTATCCAACCTCTGGGTCCTGGCCCACCAGGCAGTGTCAGGCGTGGGCTTCCTCTTATGGCATGGGTCTGAAGCTGGACCAGTCAGTCATTGGTTGACCACTCCCACAATTTCTGCTCCACTTTTACCCCAACACAGATCATAAGCAGGAAAAATTGTAGGTTGAAGGTTTTGAGGCTGAGCTGGTTTCCAAATCCCTCCACTGAAAGTCTTGCCTAGTTACTGGAGGTGACTGGTTCAGATTCCATATCGGCCATTGCTAGGAGTCTTAGCTAGGGTCATACTCATAGATTCCTTCGAGTTTCTATTGCACTAGATTTCTAGCTCATCCCAGAGATGTGTCCCCCGCCCATTCTAGTTGTTTCTCCTAGTACTTTCTCTCCATCCTCCCCCTCACCTAATCCCTCCTGTTCCCTCACTCAGAAACTGCCCCAATCTACTGGAGATGTCTATTCCATTTCCCCTTCACAGTGAGATTTGTGTATCCCCCACCCTTGAGCCCTTCTGGTTACTTAGCGTCTCTGGGTCTGTGGATTGTAGCATGGTTATCCTTACTTTACGGCTAATATTCCCTTAGAGTCAGTACAAACCGTGTTTGTCTTTCTGGGTCTGGGTTACCTCACTCAGGAAGATCTTTTCTAGTTCCATCCATTTGCCCACAAATTTCATGATGTTGTTGTTTTTAATAGCTGAGTGATAAATGTGTAATTGTATCACTTTTGACATCTGGGTTGTTACCCAGTTTCTAGTTATGATAAAGCTGCTATGAACATATTTGAGCGAGTGTACTTGTGGTATGATTGAGTGTCCTTTGGGTATATGCCCAGGAGGGGTATAGCTGAGTCTTGAGGTAGATCAATTTCCAATTTTCGGAGAAACCACCATATTGATTTCCAAAGTGACCATACAAGCTTGCACTCCCACCAGCAATGGAGGAGTGTTCCCTTTGTTCCACACCCTCACCAACATGAGCTGTCACTTGTGTTTTTGATCTTGGCCATTCTGACAGGTGTAAAATGGAATCTCAGAGTTGTTTTGATTTGATTTCCCTCATGGCTAAGGATAATGAACATTTCTTTAAGTGCTTCTGAGCCATTTTATATCCTCCTGTTGAGAATTCTGTTTAGATCTGTACTGAATTTTTAATTGGATTATTTGGTTTGTTGATGTCTAGTTTCTAGAGTTCTTTATATGGTTTGGAAATCCACCTTTTTGTTAGATATGGGGTTGGTGACGATCTTTTCCCATTCTGTAGACTGCTGTTTTGTCCTAATGATGGTGTCCTTTGCCTTACAGAGGCTTTTCAGTTTCATGAGGTCCCTTTTATTAATTGTCCATCTTAGTACTTGTGCTATTGGTGTCCTGTTCAGGAATCGGTCTTTTGTACCAGTCTGTTCAAGGCTATTTCCCACTTTCTCTTCTATGAGGTTCAGTGTATCTAGGTTTATGTTGAGGCATTTGATCCACTTGGACTTGAATTTTGTGCACGGGATAGATGTGGATCTATTCTTCTACATGGTGACATCCAGTTAGACCAGCACCATTTGTTGAAGACGCTTTCTTTTTTCCACTGTATAATGTTTGCTTCTTTCTCAAAAATCAAGTGACCATAGGTGTGTGGATTTACTTCTGAGTTTTTGATTTGATTGCATTGATCAACATGTCTGTTTTTATGCCAGTACCATGAGGTTTTTATTACTATTGCTCTGTAGTACAGCTTGAAATCAGGGGTGGTGATACCTTCGGAAGTTCTTTTATTGTACAGGAGTGTTTTGGCTATCCTGGGTTTTTTGTTTTTCCATATGAAATTGAGTATTGTCCTTTCAAGGTCTGTGAAGAAATGTGTTGGAATTTTTATAGGAATTGCCTTGAATTCTGTAGATTGCTTTTGGTAAGATTGCCATTTTTACTATGTTAATCCCACCTATCCATGAGCATGGAAGATCTTTCCATCTTTTGGTATCTTCTCCAATTTCTTCTTCAAGGACTTGAAATTCTTGTCATACAGGTCTTTCACTTGCTTGGTTAGAGTTACTCCAAGATATTTTATATTATTTGTGGCTATTGTGAAGGGTATTGTTTCCCTGATTTCTTTCTCAGCCCATTTATCCTTTATATATTGGAGAGCTACTGATATTTTTGAGTTAATCTTAGGTCTAACCACTTTGTTGAAGGTGTTTATCAGTTGTAGGAGTTCCTGAGTAGAATTTTTGGGATCACTTACGTATATTATCATATCATCTACAAATAGTGTTACTTCGACTTCTTCCTTTCCAATTTTTATCCCTTTGATCTCCTTTAGTTGCTTTTACTTATGAGGAGCAGAAAGAGAGAGAGAGAGAGAGAGAGAGAGAGAGAGAGAGAGAGAGAGAGACACAGACACAGACACAGACACAGACACAGACACAGACACAGACACATGCAGAGAAAATGCATGCAGTTGAAAGCAGAGGCCAGAATAGAACTTGGGTCCTCTGAAGTTGCAATCACTAGTGGTTGTGAACTGCCTGGCACGGTGCTGCTGGGAACA